ATTTGAGGAAATATGTGTTATAATTTTTATTATTGTTCTGAAGTGCTATTGAGTCAGTTCCAATGCATAGCAACCCTGTATAGAGCTTCTGAGGGTCAGCTGTAGGGTTTGTAATACCAACCCTGTATTTAAATTGGAGCTTATTTTATAGCACCACACCAGGACTCCAGTAAAAAAGTATAAGTATAGTTTAAAAGATTCCAAACACATATCCAGAGTACACACATACAAATTACCTTGCTTGATGATTGTTATTGGAATTGACTTTTGTGGGACATATCCTGGCTGAAAAGGAAAGGGAGAAGTCAGCTTTTGAGTCAGTGTTGATAACTTGGATTTTGTTTTTGTTATACAACAAATCAAATAACAGAACTATCATTTTCTTGTCTTCAATGAAGCCTCCCATGACAATGTTTTAATAGTTGCTGGATACATTTTTAGTACATTCAACTATTCTTTTTTTTTTTCCTTGCTTGGTTTTCCCATAAATGACCACATATTTGACAGAAGAAATTTCTACAAAACTCTTATTAGTACAGCAAACTCTCACTGATCCTTTGGGAGAAATGGTCAGGTTACTTAGAAATTATGATGGAAAGAAACAAAATCCTCAGTGTTAGATATTAGTTTATTTTCATTTTATTTGACCCAGCCTCATTTTTCTCCCACAGAACAGCTGGTAGTTTCGAACGGCTGACCATGAGATTAGCAGCCCATTTCGTAACCACTACATTACCAGAGTAATACTTACATATTATTTCTTAACAGTCACGGTCAACTGAGTGATTGTATCCAATTATTGTTGCTTCTACTACAGACACTAAAACCGCCCTGAGCTCTTAACACTCACCAAACACTTACTTGGCTAAGAAAGTAAAACTGGGATTCAGATGGTTCTTACTCCAAAGTCTATAAACATACTGCATATATTTATGCAAAAAGGACATCAGAATCAGAAAGGCGGGTCCCAAGGCTCTGTGCTTACTGCTCTTCCCCTACCTGCCTTAGTGGTAGCATGGGAAGTTTTGAGTGCCATTGTGTGGCTAGACCTAGGGTAGGTTTAGTATTAACACTGAATTAGACTCACTAACATACTTTATGGTAAGACCACAGATAAGATAATCAATAGAGCAACAGGACTCAGGTTATGAGAAGGGCAGGAAGTATTCACAGGAATATTAGAGTTGAGTTCAAGGAACAAAAGATGATTGGAATTTTTTGATTGGTTATACATAATAACAGACACTCTAAACATGAGATACATTAATAAGTGAGTAAGTGCTGAATATAAGATACTTCTCAGAAATTTGTGAACGAAAGAGATTTGCTAACATGCTGCCATTTTCATAAAAGATAATCCCATAGTGAAGAAGGACCACAATACCAAGGTTAACGTTGGCTATTTATTTTTGGTACTATGGTTCTTACTTTTAAAAACTACAAACAATAAGAGTATCTTTAATATTATTAGGTTATTTTTTTTTTTTAAAGCAGTTGTATGAGAATCCACTCACTCAATAATTTTTTCCCAAGGAAGAAATCTGAGATACAAATAATCCTTTATGTATAAGTTTATTACTACAATTTGAAACAACCTCTTTGTCAAAAGCAGAGGATTTGTTAAACATTTGTGGTTTGAATTTTTGACTTTGCTTTCCATAGATAAATATAAAGGTTAAATATTTGAATCTGTTGTTGTTTTTGTTGTTAGGTGCCATAGCGACCTTATGCACAGCAGAATGAAACACTGCCCGATCCTGGGCCAATCTCACTATTGTTGCCACACTTGAGTCCATCGATTCTGCCACTTGGCCAATCCATTTCTTTGGGGACCTCCCTCTTTTTCTCTGAACCTCCACCTTACCAAACATGATATCCTTCTCCAATGACTGGTCCCTCCTGACAATATGTCTGAAGAATGAGGGACGAAGTTTGGCCATCCTGGCCTCCAAGGAGCACTCTGGTTGCACTTCTTCCAAAACGGATCTATTGGTTCTTTTGGCAGCCCATGGCACTTTCAATATTCTCTTCCAATACTGCAACTCAAAAGCATCAATTCTTCTACAGTCTTCCTTATCCACTGTCCAACTTTCACATGCATATAAGGTTATTGAAAATACCATGGCTTGGGTCAGGTGCACCTGAGTCCTCAAGCTGATATCTTTGCTCTTCAATACTTTTAAAAGGTCTTGTGCAGCAGATTTGCCTAATGCAATATGTCATTTGATTTCTTGACTGCTGCTTCTGTGAGTGTTGATAGTTGATCCAAGAAGAATGAAGT